ACCGGTATTTAGGAAAACATAGATTATGTAGTAGGGAAAAAAGCTCATGAAATATGCTAAATGCTACGTCAGTATTTGTTTCGTTCATGACGTCACTGAATGTCAAAGCACCGAGATGTGTTTGAAGTTTATTACAATTTTCAATTGTTATGTCTCGCTTCGTGACGTACCAAAAGGTTTTTTCTTTTTGTTTACTTTTGGTGTAAAACGTTAGCATTTGGGCAGTATTATGATCTGATAGTTGTAGGTGTAAGTTAGTTCCAGTTGCTTCTTTAATGTTACTGATAATTAGGTCTATACAAGTGAGTTCTCTAGTCGGTAAATGTATATGTTGTCTTAAATTATAATTCTGAATTAAATCGTTAAGGTAGCGGCTATCAGGAGTATTATCTAGTATATTTATATTAAAATCGCCGGTAATTATAATTTTTTTTGTTTTATATGTGTTTGTTATATCGTGCAAAACTGAGTCCAATATGTTTAAGAATCGTGTCCCAAATCTTTTATGTGAATTGTATATACATAAAATTATTAGATTATGGGCAGGTAAGTCTATACCTGAGCATTCAAAAATATTCTGCACTAAATACCTATTGAAAAAATTTAGTTCTCTCGATACGATACCATTTTTCAGTAATATACATGTACCTCCTCTTTTTTTGTCCCTACAATAACTAGAAACCAGTTCATAGTTAAAAATTTTAATATTTTGTTCATCTCCTTTTTTTACAAATGTTTCACTCAAGCAGATAGCGTCGGGTTGAGAGTTCGAATTTATTAATTCAGAAAGAGTAATTTCTAGTAGGTCTCTTTTAGCTAGTATACTGGCAATGTTTTGGCGTAAAAGAATGAATTTGCTACTGTGAGGTTCGAAAAAACTGGGTTTCATTCATCAGAGAGTTGTGATTACTGTCTTTTTTTTCCGTAGCTAAATTTTGTAAGTTTTCAAGCATTACATCATTAACAAGTAAGCTCAAATCTTTGAAAACTTGTAAATAAGAATTAGATATAAAGTAGCAAATAGGTACATCTTTTAATACCAAGTTATTATTATAATTATTTTATATCACCTTACTCAATTGAAAAAAAAAAAAAAGATTTTGTGACCAAGTAGAAACAGCAGAGCATTTAAAAATTTCAACAGTTTAACTTTTTTTTATGATACCAAGTGACGGGGACAAACAAGTTGTGCGCCTGGTGAGTGACAAGCTTGTCCATAACAGTTGCAGTGTCACTCAGAACTGAACATTGTATAATAAGACATTTTGCATGCTATTTAACAGTGAAACATATTGACACTGGCACTGTTACACCATGTTTAAGCAAATAATAATAATAACGCAACACACACATAGACCCGCACTAGGGAAACCCTGTGTTGTGGGTGCCATGGACATACATAGACAACCACAAATTACACCCAAACTCACGAGACAAATAAATATAGGCCATACACATATTTCTCCCGGCCTGGGAATTGAACCCTCTGACTGGCAGTCCAGCATGGTAACTGTTCGGCCACAGAGGCAGTTAAATAATAATTAAAAAAAAAACTAATATTATTTTATAAGCATCTGGGGAGTACTGCCACTGCACTCGTCACCCTGATACATAAGTTGACAAGTCCCATGTGCCTGTAATTTCACTAGCATCTTTGCCATTCAAAACTGGAATGCAGTAATGCTCACATCACACACTGTTGGGCAGCAGATAAGTAAGGCGGTTCCTTGGATGAACTCTTTCACAAGGACCTTAACTGCTACTAAATTGATTAAATCCAAGTTTAGTAAATAAACATTTTTTCAACCAGTTTAACAAAATTTACGAGACCACAAAATCAACTTCGAACCAACGAGCAAACCTGTATTAGTAGGAAATTAAAATAAATGAAGGAGAAAGTGATACGACAATTTTTTTTAAATTAGACTTAAAAAGGCCAGCCATATCATCTCAAATAACACTCAATTATTTGGGGGATTATACTGCTGTTCACAGATCTGTACTAGGGATCCAGCATGTTTTTGCCAATTACTTAAAATAAGGTTTATTATTACTTTTTTAAAACCAAAGGATTTTTTTGCTCAATTTCATCTTCAAATTCAAATTATGAAATAATAGAGACACACAAAATACATTTTTGATGGGTATCTAACTGCTCACTATTAATTGGACTGATGTCCAAGTTACCACAATTTCATTTCACTAAAGTAAACAACTTTTTTATGAGGAACTGTATGTTTTTACACAAAGATTTTGGAGTATATACTAAGTTTAAAACACATTCACATAAATTTAAATCAAAGTGCATTTCATTGGATCCAAGATTATTTAAAAAGAGCAACCCATAGAGTTGCTTGCTCGTTCTTCTCAGGAAATTCAGCACAGTGAACAAGCAATAGCTTGAAAAGTTATGTTTTCAATTGTAAATTTTTTTACCTATGGAATAAATGATTTTTTTACTTTGACTCAAAACTTAATTCTTAAAGTGGCACTTGTTAATTATTTAAATTATCGAAATGGTTATAATCCTGACCTGAAAGCTTCTGCACAATCCATCATCATGGTACATGCTCCATTACGTATCTCATTATTTGGCACACACTCATCTCCAACTGAAAATAAGTATATAAAATATATGTAATAGCTTAAAGTTGTACACTGGCGAACATGAGATTCCCAAAGATAACAATATACAATAATAAAGCTATAAAAACAACTTATAAATAATATAGAATGAACTCTTATTTAGGCATGTTAGAAAGGAGTAGTTCTATGTTATAGTGTAAGTTTAGAAGTAAATAATAAAATTAAGTAATAGCTACAATTTAACTTTACCTTCTGCTGCTAGAATAAAAAGAATAAAATACGTATAAATTATATTGCAAAGAATGAAATATTTTAACAACATTGTCGTTTGAAGACCAAACGGTAAATGAATCGTCGAATGCGTTTTCCTCGTTTGTTATCGAAGCAAAAGTACTAATTTATAAATAAGAACCGGTTCGAAGTAGTGCCACTTCGAGCCGCTGTGAAAAGTATAAACACGATTTTCGTTTACCATTCATTAGACTTTCGAAATTTAGGAATGATTTCTTTAAAAAAGTTGTATGCTTTTGTTTCAGTCCGTGCTTATTAAATAATCATAATTACAATTTTTTTCTTGATTTAATTATATACCTAATTACATGATAATTACACACTTTAAAAGCACGTCTCGCCGTGTCGATTAAGTGGTACTATAGCCAAAAGCACAACTATTATGAGTTACTACTAGCCAAAAGTACTTTATTTTTGCAAATATATGCAAATCAAAGAGATCAATGTAATCAATCACTAATGACTATTTAACGCAAACATCGAGTTGAGTGAGAGTAGAAGTGTTGAAGACGAGTAGACCACAGGAGTAGACGATAGGAAGGGTACACAAATTAGAAACTAGAAAGACGAAGGGTAGGGACGGTAGGGTATGGATGGTGGGGTGGGAGGAAAGAAGGACTTCAACTTCAACTTTTGTGTCTATGGCTCCGTCGTTTTGCGCGAGGGTGAGGGAAGGGAACTGACATTGATAGTTTTTTTTCCTTAGTTCCGTTTGGAAAAGGCGAAGGTCAGAGACCATACTGCCTTATTAATAGTTTGATCACAAACCACTAATAGTTTGATACTTGCCAATGTCAAAATAAAATCCGTTTCATGGTTGCGATTAAGTTGTGCTATGTTTTCGTGTGCAATTCAGTGTCGTATTCCAGAACTCTACTCAATACTCAAGTCAGGACTTGAGTATTGCAGTGAGCACTGAAAATCATACTCAGGGTCGTATTCCAGAAGTCTACTCAATGCTCAAGTCAGGATTGCACTGGAAACATAAGCACTGGAAATACGACCCTAATGGCAGGGACTTGAGTATGATTTCGAGTGCTTTAAACCATACTTAAATCCTGACTTGAGCATTGAGTAGAGTTCTAGAATACGACCCTCAGTCCTTGCCACTAGAGTCGTATTTCCAGTGCTTGAAATCATATTCAAGTCTGCTCAAATCCTGACTTGAGCATTATTTAAAGCACTGATAATCATGCTCAAATCCTTGCCATTAGAGTCGTAATTACAGTGCTTGAAATCATACTCAAGTCTACTCAAGTCCTGACTTGAGCATTGAGTAGAGTTCTGGAATACGACCCTAAGGGTCGTATTCTAGAACTCTACTCAATGCTCAAGTCAGGATTGCAATGGAAACGTAAGCACTGGAAATACGACCCTAATGGCAGGGACTTGAGTATGATTTTCAGTGCTCACTGCAATACTCAAGTCCTGACTTGAGTATTGAGTAGAGTTCTGGAATACGACCCTAAGAAAGGTCGAGTTCAAGCGTAAATTATACAATAGCCAAATTCGATTAAAGAATGTTTAATAACAAACTGTTGCTAGGCGACCATTAATAGCAGTAGGTACTAAATAATATTTTTTGACCATTATTTAGGCTAGCTCTGCCCATGGCTTGCTCGTGTAATTGGAACTCAAATAGGTGAGCAGGTAATTTAGAATAAAATGTAATTGTTGGATATATATTTGTTGCGACGTCATGAGAGTCTGTGTTTGTATTTGTAACCGATTAAGTTTTTTGTACATCAAGCAATACACTTTTGTTCCAATGTCGTCTCCAGAGTAGATATGAGCGCCGACAACAGACCAACCGGGCGGCGGCGCGCCGACGAAAAAATATCGGCGGCGTTTCGACGGTGCGAGCGCGACCATGAAGCGAATTTGTATACTAATATCGAGCTCTTATGAAACTCACAGACATACAAAAATATTGTATGTACACAAACCACTATATTGTATCATAGCGATGACAGTGCTAGTTTGCATAATGACGTTTCCCCCTCCCCTCTCTGCGATCTTCAACCCCGCGAAAGTCAGCCATCTTTTTCCTTTAGCGTCAGCCGTCATCGTCATATTGCTTGTTTGTGATGATGAGAAGTGTTTGCGTCGATTTATTTCCACCTCTTTATATCCACAAGTACACTAATATTGAGATCGTGCTTATTTGTATTAATGTGAAGTGTTTGCGTCGATTCATTTCCGCCTCTTCCACTCTACAAATACTATAAGTTGCTTGTATCCGTTAAGTAAACTACTTAACTTCATAGAATTAAATACCGTTTTCACCGTCATTTACAAATTTTGAGAAGAGTTAAATAATAATATGTGTTACTGAAAATTAGCGCATAGTTCATTGTTTAAACATACCGCATGTTTAAAATACAGTACAAATACAATTAAAAGTCTGAACAATGGTTTTTAAGATTTTATCAAAGTTTTACATATTAAGTACATTAACAATAAAATATTATGTGCCCATGTTATGTGGATACACTAAATGGCTCAACTATACAATAACGACACTTGAGTTGAGAGTTCAAATTAATATGGTGAATAGATTACATAGTTAGTAGTCTAAGTCTAATCCTAAAATATTTTTTAATTTTTAGGTATATGCAGTGACCATAGTTACTCGAGGAAGCGCCACATTGATCACTCTTATGCACTACTGTATGATGAGTAAAACAAACCTAATAAAGTTGCACGAACAGAGGTTTCTTGTATGTACATCATCTTTTTCTATTATTTTATGCAATGTCACGAAAAAAAAGCTTATTTTTTTTTTATTATTATTATATTAATTATTTCATTTCAGATGCAAACGTCTTGCCTTTAACTCCAGTTTCTGTCTGAATAAACACTTTCTGTTTGTTGATAGACGGTACTATAAGTTATGAAGAAAAATCCTATGTGTTTCAAACACCTAAGTGTTAGTAACTTGAATACAGGAGTACTGTTTTACTTAATTTATTACATTTTGAAAATATTATTGTTGTTTCCACATTCCAGGCTGTAAAATAAGTTTCTCCAAAAAAATATTCATTTTTGCCTTCAAAAACAACTTTGAAGAATATGATAAGTCAACTACTGTAAAAAACTGGGACAGCAACAGGAGGTTGTGTAATTTGCTATTTGATGAAATGGCATTAGACATTGCTTTAACATATTCAGCAAACAAAGATGATATTGTTGCATTCGGAGGTTTAAAGGGAAAAACTGATAACTTTGCAGATCGTGTTCTCGTTTTTATGTTACGGGGTGCGCTTTGTAGACTTTTATTTCTGTGAAGGTGCAACCTCTAGTTTCCAGTTAAAAGGCATTATTAAAGAAATAATTGCTGCTGCATCTGAAACTGGACTGAAACCTATAGCTCTTGTGTCAGATCAAGGCACAAATTATCAATCTGCCATAAATCTTTTAATAGAAGAGACCAAAACAACTCAATTACGTGCTGGAGAGACTTTTGGTAAGTTGTACTTCATATTTTTATTATTCAGTTGGCTTGTGTAGGTCATGAACTATGAACTATTATGTATATATTTCTGACACTGACTGAGATGAACTAGTTCATCTTGCACGGTATTAATAGTTCATTGGTATTTTTAGTTCAGTACAAACTAGGAACTGTCTGCGTTGATAGTTCACCTGTCTTTTATTCAATAGGAACGGCTCGAGCAAGATAGTTAGTCTTTCACTACTTTTAGTACAAGTCGGTGTGGGATGCACACACTGAATTAGAGGTGGGTAATAAATAACGTCACGATGAAAAAATCACGATGATCCGCCGGCAACCAGTATTACCGTGACTCGTTCCGAAGGAACAACGTTCCAAAGTCACAGGTGTTCCTCCGTTCCAGTAGCTATCCCCGTCACTCACATCACGACATACGTATTTGATACAATGCGCGATCTCCGTTCCGTGGTGACTCAGCGCGCCACTCGTTGTAGTTCTCTTCAAATCGGGCCATTTCGGCGATGGGAGTAAATGAAATAGGATGACTTTCTTTGCTCACTCACAAGGGTCGTAGATGCTTATTACTACAAGAAAAGGCGGATTTAAAAAAATCTGCAGCAGTTTTTTTTTTTTTTTTAATTTATTTATTCAAAACCAACTTAAACTAAAAACTTATATTAAGACTACTTTCAAAAACCCTTCAAAGGGTTTATGCGAAGGTAGAATGCATCGCATACTCTCCACTATTGTTATGGGTCCAACATACAACCCAAGTAATACTTTTTTAAAACTTGTTTACATTTTTTTACATTTATAAACATATCTTTATGCAATTGTACTGGTATTTTATTTACAATTTTTTGGTAATATGTACTTTGTAGTCCTCATACCGTAAGTATTGGTGATTCTAGGTAGTTTAAACTCAGGTAGGTAGGTAAGGGTACGTAATTTATTAAGCCTGTTTGTTTTTGTTAATAAATTGACATTTTCAAATTGGTCCAGTAATATTGACACATTCGACTTGTTAAAGACCGACATTACCTTACAGTGGTTAAAAAGACCGGGATCGTTATCCTTATATTTGTTTTTTATTTTATTTGATACAATTGTCTTAATTATGCTAACTTGTAATTTATATATATTATCTAGGTACGATTTATAAGTACGCCCGTAGCTACTGAGCCCATAATCAATAATTGAGTCTGCCAAAGCAAGGTACAACATTCTAAGTGTATAATATGGTAACTTGTACTTTAATATGGAAAGTTTAGCATTGATAGACCTGAGCTTGTTAGTAACGCTTTCAATGTGTGGACCCCAGTTGAAAGACTTATCTATAATAAGGCCTAAATAAGTATGCTGCTCAACTACCTGCAGAGCCAGACACGTACAGGCGGGCGCGGTGCTGGAGCTGATGGAGGACTGATGATGCAGGCACTGGTGGTCATGCGCGACTATTTTAGGTATATGTGTTGTTTTTATGTACGGGGAATGTATGTGAATAAGTTTTGTTTTGTTAGCGTTGATGACCAGGCCTACATCATGGGCCCATTTACACATATTATTAAAGCTATTCTGCATTGATTTTTGCGCCTCGATTACATTTTTACTGTGTGTTATCAGGCAAGTATCATCAGCGAATTGGTACACAGAAGCCTCCGAAAATATATTACACATATCGTTTACGTATAGTAAGTACTCAGTAGGTCCAAGGATTGACCCTTGGGCAGTGCCTCGTTCAGTAGGTATTTTGTCGCTATGAGTATTTCCCAAGCGTACTAGTGTATGTCTATTCTCGTGATAGTTCCGAAACCATTCCAACAGTGGTCCCTGTATTCCATTCTGTTTTAACTTGTCAAACAGTACATTGTACCGTAAAGTGTCGAATGCTTTACTGAAGTCAACAAAGACAACGAGTACCTGCTCGCGTGCTATCAAGTACCCGTTGACCTCATCTGTAAACTTAGATAAAAGTTGGGATGTACTACGGCCTTTTTGAAATCCGTACTGTTTATCATTAATTATTTTATTATTGCACAAAAAGTAATTTATTTTATTCCCTAGATACTTTTCCACTATTTTGTCTACGCTAGATAGTATTGTGATCGGTCTGTAATTGTTTACATCATCATATGGCCCCTTTTTATGGATTGGTCTGATAATGCCGGTCTTTAAGTTATCGGGGTATGAGGACGTAGCTAGACAACAGTTAATTAGGTGAGTAATAACTGGCGTTATTTCTGAGTTTATACATTTGCAAAGTTATTATAAACCTATTTATGAACAAAGTAAAATATTTTTGTATATTTGTTTTATTATAGGAAGAGTTGGTATTTTATATTTATGTATAATCTACTTTGTGTATTCTACTAGAAATATAATTACATTACACTTTATTGCTATTTTTAACAATCCAAAAATTCGCATTAAATAAGTAACAAACAAAATTACATTAAATAGAAAATCAACTTTTTGAATGGAATTGAAACTTATTACAAAGGGAGTAAAAACTTAAATCATTCTATAAAAAACGGCTATAAGTATTAGAACGAAGCCGCTGGCTAAAACCGTATATCATGATGTAAGTTATAAGCGTGACAAGGTCACACAAGTAACAGTCGTGACAAAATCACGATGATTTATCACTGTGATTTTTTTGGAACCGGAACGACAGTGACGGCGATAGAAATGTAACGCTATTCTCCATGTCTAGACTGAATGTTGCCAGCTAGTTTTAAGTCTATACGTGTTCACCTTATGTATATACATAATGTGGACTGTCAAATAATAATGTAAGCTTGTAAATATAAGTGCTCATATTTTTTTTAGGTGTGTAGGCATCAGTATGTATAATATCAACAAACATGTGATTTTTGAAGATACTATTCTAACTAAAATATATGCTGTTATTGTTTTGTAAAAAAAGGACGTTTAGTTGAATGACAGTCTTTTAAACCTGTAAAATATTAAAGAAAATCAAATAGTACTGATTCCATACAAATTGTATTTTTAAATATTTAGTACTGTGTACTATTTGACCTCTTAATAAGAGTAATAGAAGCCTGTAGTATTTATGTGAATGATATAACTAGTTTGGAGCATTTGTTCAATGTCGAAGCTAGGACAAGATGAACTAGACGACCAACCTAGTTAACCGATTGGACTAATTAAGATCGCTCCTTTAAGGCCTGATCAGGCAAAATTCTATTATTCATTTGGAAGTTTAATGCCAACACTGTGTGATTGTATGAACACATATTATGTAACTTGATAATCTTAACAATACTTTCCTTGCTTTCAGATAACACAATCAATTTAAGTGGAAACACATTAAGTGTTTTTTATGATCCACCACATCTGATTAAGGGGATTCGTAATAACTGGCTCACCAAGGATATGTTATTTGAAAGCAAACCAGCTAAGTAGCAAGATATTGTGGACGTGTACAATGCTGACTGTCAGCATGGACAATCAAGGATATTACACAAGTTGACTGACCAACATCCTGAAATTCATTCAGTCATTCCTGAAAAAATAAAAAAATGAAGGTAAACATAATATTTTTTATTCAATTTAGTAATTTATAACAAAATTCTAACTAACAAACTACTAATAGTTAGTTCAACTTGCACCACTTAAGGTGCAAAGCTTAACTAAGGTTTTTATGATAAACATTTTTTAAAAATTTATTTCAAATATATTATTGTTATTTATTATTTATTTATATATTTTGTTATTTCATATTTTATTACTCTAAACAGGCTAGATTTTAACTTTTAATTCTTTTTATTTCTAATTATCCAAAGTGATTAATTTTAAAGTGATTTATTTTTGTTTTTTATTTATAGGTGAGAAATTGTATGCGTGCATTAAGCAAATCAATATCAGCGGAATTATCATACACTTCATGCTTTCGTAAGTATTTATATTGTAAATAGATAAAAAATTATATAATTATTTTTTATTTATTTTGTCTAACATTTCCTAGATTGGTCTAGCATTTTACAAAGTTATAAATAGAAATCTTATAAAACTCCTGATTTTGCAGATATTTGTATAGTAAAAAGTACAATATTACATTTATTTATTATATTGTTGGTATTATTACATTTTCATGAATTTCTTTCTTCTTTCTCTCAATTCCTGTGATTGCAATGATATATTGCATTACAGGCGCTCCTAGTAAAATGGGATAAAAAAACCAAACACACTTTTCACTTTATTTGTCTCTTTATTAATCACTTGGATTGGTATTTGAAACGGAAATTTTGACACATTAATTTTATTTTTAGCTTTGTATCCAGATGGGACACCAGTGAGTGCAACAATGAAAAATACGGCCGAAGCGGTTTCTTCTTCTTCTTGTAAATGTTATGGCTCCATCGAAATAATCAATGATTTTGCCAATGTCAAGTAAAAATAACTATGTCCGGTAGTTTAACATTATTATAAAAATTATACAAAAAATTGGCGATTTCGCCAATGTCCTGTGAAGATACCTTTTTTGACGATCTCTTTGACAGCGTCAATGGTACAAGCAGCATAACCAAGAAGATGAAAGGAAAAGCTTTGTTAACAGCTGCCGATGCATAATCTGTACACCATTAGTACTGGCGAAAGGCTATCAAAATATTATCAAATACAAAATTTGTGACAAAAGAAAATGTAGGGAAAAGTGTGACGTCAATAAAAAATTGGGTCGTTACCCTCAAAAGTTTTCTGAGGGTGTGGAGATGCTTAGAAAAACAAAATATTAAGATTAGAGACCTAGATATTTTAATTCGGATCCCCTTGAAAACTTTTTTGGGCAAGTTCGCCCATATGATTATAGGAGTAATGACCCAAGTGCCTATGCATTTATTAATACTTTCAAATTATTATTGACATCTAGATTCATAAAATTTCATTCAGAAAATTTTATCTGTGAAAATGTATCAAGCCAAGAATTGTTAAATATTCAGACTCTAATTGACAAGAAAAATGTAAACATTGCATCAGTTGTTTCTGATGATTCCACTGAAATTTCAAAATCTAATTATATAGAACATGAAAATATATACACATACAGGACGAGAAAGGTTAAATATTCATTCAAGGGATTATAGTGTTGGATGGGTAACAAGAAAAATTTTCTCTAAAATCAACTGCGAAAATTGTAAAAAAAGTTTAATTGCAGAAAATGAAAATTCGACACAGGCATTTATCAAATTAAAAGAATATAAATTACTAAAGCAGAGAAAGTTATCCTATCCAACAGAAAATACAGTGACAAGTTTCGGAGAAATAGTAAAGACTACGAACTAATATTTGGAAGCTAATGGATATCAAAGAAAATTAGTGAGAAAATTAAACAAATAATAGTTTCCAAATATTCGTTTGATTTTCTGAACTGTGAAAAGCACAAAGAAATAGTCCTTGATTGGTTTTTAAACATCTCTATAAAATTGTTCATTTTTAACTGGTGCAATGTAATTAATATAATTTTTAAAGGGACTGATATTGTTCGTTGATTATACCAGCAATGGAAAGAAAAGCATTGAATAAATTTAAGAAAAAGTTAACAAAATAAAAATTGTACAAATACTTACATTGTTTTATTTTATATACGTACCTAAATTTCAAACTGAAAAATAAACGGCGTGGATATAATTTCGGCAGTACTCCTTGACGTGGCTGAATAAACGTAATCGTTGCCTACAAATTGAAAGCCAATTGTAAAAAAAATATTGAATACGAAGAGCGGAAGCAAAAAAAAAGTCATGTTCTAAACTAGCACTACGATACAAAGACAATGTATGTCACTTGGTGGTCTGTAGTACTAAGTAGTCTGTGCAGACAATATCTAGATAGACACCGCAAGTGTATGTACTTCGCGTGCCCAAGGTAAGTGAAATTCACTTACTTGCCACTGCTACACTTCAGAACGCACTCGATCGTTATCGTAGATAAACACAAGTCGAAAACGCGAAAAATGCACAATTGTGCCATTACAAACTGCAAAAGGACCATAACTGTAGGTTATCGGGTAAACAGGCACGTTTTCTTCCACGGGCAAGTGATTTTGAAATCAGAAGGTGCATAATTTATTTTAAAAACAATTATTTTGCTTTGTATGAATTTCGATAAAACAAATATGCAACCGTGTGTATGCCTCAGGATTTGTAATACATTGCGGCTTTTACTAGGTTTTTTTTTTTATATAATGAAAGAGGCAAACAAGCCGACGAGCCACTTGATGGGAGGTGGTCATCGTCGCCCATGGACATTTGCAACATCAGATGAGCTGCCTATACGTTGCCAGCCTTTGAGAGCCCTGTACACACGCTTCTTGAAGAACCCCATGTCATAGCGCAAGGGGAACACTTCAGGAGGAAGATCATTCCACACCTTGCAGGTTCGAGGAAGGAACGAACGAGATGCCCGTGTGGTCTTACAACGCCAGACATCTAAGATGTGGGGATGGACTCTACTCCTTTGGCGGGAGGTGCGATGGTAGAAACGAGACGGTGGCACCAGTTCGAAAAGTTCCTCAGAGCACTCCCCATAATAAAGACGGCGGAACCCACACAGAGAGCCAACGTCTCTTCGTAAGCTAAGGGGCTCCATACCGTCAGTGAGTTTGGGATCATCGATAATACGAACAACCCTACGTTGGATAGAGTCAAGTGGATCAAGCTGGTATTTGGGAGCTCATGCCCAGAGACGCGAGCAATACTCCATATGAGGCCGTACTTGTGTTTTATATAACAAAAGTCGATGACCTGGAGAGAAGTACTGCTTCGATCTATTGGTTACTCCGAGCTTTTTTGAAGCCAGTTTGGCTTTGCTCTCCAAATGACTCCGGAACTGGACTTCGCTCGTGATGTCGACTCCAAGTATCCCAATACTCTTTGAGATGGTAAAGGCAGTGTTCTGGAACTTTGGCGCTATTACGAATGGGGATTTTTTAGCGGTAAACGCGCACACTTGTGTCTTTGCGGGGTTCAATTTTACTAAATTCTGTTGGCCCCATTCTGAGACCTGATCCAAAGAAGTCTCGATTTTGGACACAAGTCTGTTTTGTTCCACTTGTTGGTGTTACTGTTGTTGTTGGGCATATTTGTGCGACCAGTATAATAGGCATCACCGTCATCAGCATAGCAATGAATGTTACTAGTTAATAACATATCATTGATATGCAGGATGAACAGAGTTGGTGATAGCACAGATTCTTGCGGAACGCCGGAGTTGATGAGAATGGTGTCCGAGCACAATCCATCGACAGCGACTTTTATGCTCCGCTCAGACAGGAAGCTGGCGATCCAAGTGCACCGACCTTTTGGAAGTCCGTAAGATGGTAGCTTCGACAGAAGTGCCTTGTGCCAGACCCGATCAAAAGCTTTAGCGACGTCTAAGCTCACGGCCATTGCTTCCCATTTGCTCTCGATGGCAACTGCCCATTGATGCGCGAGATATACAAGAAGATCACCAGCACCACGACCGCGGCGAAAGCCGTACTGGCTGGTCGTTAATAAGTTGGCGATCCTCGAGGTAATCTAAGAGCTGGTTGTTTACCACACGCTCCATCACCTTGGAGAGCAAGGAGGTTATCGCTATAGGCCGATAATTGGACGGGTCTGTACTGTCACCCTTCTTGGGTATGGGGCGAACGCCGGCTGAATCTTCCACAAAGACGGGACTTTACCTGAGTGGTACGAAATTGAGAAGGGGCGCGTTAAGACCGGAGTCAACTCGGGAGCGCACGTCCTGAGCACAATAGCAGGAACGCCATCGGGTCCACTGGACTTCTTGACGTCGCGGGCAAAAAGAGCACGCCGCGCCGCATTTTGCGTGAAGCGAATTTCGGGCATTATGTACTTACACCGTGGGATAGTAGGCGATGAGTTACCCTCGTCGTCAAGAGTTGAGTTCGACGCAAAAAGAGAGCATAGGAGATCAGCTTTCTCTTTAGCGGTATGAGCCAGTGAACCATCAGGCT